GGGCTCGCCGCGGCCAGGCGGGGAGAGGACGGGAGAGGACAGCCCCGCCCCGGGCACGGGGCTGGCACCCGCGCAGGGGGCTTCGCCAGCCTCGCAGACCACTCGGGCGTCCTCGCTCCGGGGTGACTGCTGGCGATTAGCCAGGGCAAACGTAGGCCAGCGCGGTTTTCCAAAACGTGTTTCCGTGTTTCCTAGTCAATAAAGAGATGGGACAGATACTGAGACGGGCGTTAAAAAAATCAGCTGGCTTTACCAAGAAGGATGTGTGAGGCGCTTCCGCAGCGCACTCCTCTGCAAGCGAAGGCGGTGACAGCGCAGAGCGTGGATGAGAAAGGCGGCTGTGGGTCCGCCCTTGTGTCGTCGGTTAGACAAGCCAGGGACCGGCGCTCTAAAATTAGAAAGACTTTCGAAGTGGAAGGCGGATGGCTGTTGAAGTATTGAGCGGCCTAGAGCAAACATGTGTGTCTGCACTAAGTCGGAAAAGTAAAGTTGGAAAAATAAGATTCTTTTGTTCTGCTTTTGTTTTGTTTGTTTTTTTGAGTTGGAGTCTCACTCTGTTGTCCAGGCTGGAGGGCAATGGCACGCTCACCGCCACCGCAGCCTTGACCTGCGGCTTGGCCTATCCTTCCGCCTCAGCCTCCCAAGTAGCTGGAACGACAGGTGCACACCACCACGCCTGGCTATTTTTTTCTGATTGAGATGAGGTCTCCCCCAGTTGCTCAGGCTGGTCTCAAACCCTTGGGCTCAGGCAGTCCTCTCACCTCCACCTCCCAAAGTGCTGGGATTACAGGCATGAGCCACAGCACCCGGCTAGAAAAGTTATATTCTCTTTGAATTCATTTTGTGATTTCATAATTTACAATTAGAATTTTTTAATTCATTTATTTAGTTTGCAGGACAATGGTAAAATGAAAAGACAAAAGTGAGTTATAAAATAAGCAGCAGCGAAGATGAGTTAGATTTAAACTTCTATACAGATACGTTAGAAAAAATAAGCATTGATGTAGCAGAAAATGATAGTAGCAATAGTGATATCATTTCCCCAGGCAAATGTAATAGAAAGTGATAGCGTTGAAGTGTTAGTAGTTTCAAAGTAGAAAACAACATATCAAGTGAAGAATAGGAAGATGTTACAGAAAAAGATAATCCTTCAGCGAGAGTTTTGTGGTACATCCTCAAACAACAGGACCACAAATAACAAGTAATATAAGAGAACCGATGGATTGTTTTACTGTGTATTTTACAAATGATTCGTAGATAGTGTAACAAAGAAATAAATCACTATGTGGATGAAAAAATAAGGAAAAAGCAGCTAGCACACAAGTTGATTTGGCATACGTGGCATGACGTTGACCCAAATTCTTAACTTTTATCGCAGTTTTTCTAAATATGGGAATAATTCAATTACCCAGTTTACAGAAGTACTACTGGTCAACTGCTTTCAGTAATAAAATGCCCTGCTTTTCAGAAACATTCAGTAGAGAAAGGTTTATGCGATTCTTCTAGAGGTTTTCTTTGAACACACCTGCCTTGAGTGATGGGATGATCAGAACTCATATTCAAAAGGCCAATAATTATTTGGAATACATTGATTCAGAGTTTTCACACTATTTCATACCAAATCAGGCAATTTGTGCTGATGAATCCACTGTTCATTTAAAGGGCAAATATCATGTATAACATACAACCCAGATAAGCCTACCATAGGGGGTATATGCATTTATGCACTAGCTGATTCAAAACCAGGGTATCTTTTTTCAATTCTTCCCTAGTATGGCATCATAACTCATAACATGGAAAATGTCGTTCAACCTGATCTTCCAGTAAGCACCGGAATTCCATTAGATTTATATACAAAGTTGTTGGAAAAAGTTCCCAATGCAGTGAGATACCACATGTTTACTGACGGATATTACACTAGTATTGTCTTAGCAGAACTGTGACTAAAGATGAGATGTCATCTTACTGGTACCATCAAAGTAATTGGAAAGGGAATACTAGGTCAAATACAAAGCCAAGGTTTCTAACAGAAAAAAAAAGTAGCGTATAGGAAAAACAATCTTACACTTCTCGCATGGAAGGACAAAAGGTTCGTTACAATTCTCAACACTTGGAGTCATGCAGGAATGCAATCTACCACAAGGACATTATGTGGTAAAAAATATTGTATCAGTCAAAAAGCCTGAAATGATCCTAAATAATATTGCAAATGTGAGCAGCGTGGGTCGTGCAGAACAATATAATCTACATACTGTTTTTTGCAAAAATCTTTAAAATGGTGGAGGAAATTATTCTTTTGGAGACTAGAAATATACGTTAACTCCTATATACTTTACAAAGCATCAAAAAAAAGGAAAGAAAAACCTATGTCCTGTTTGAAATTTGTCAAGCTTCTGATTGATCAATTGAGAAATAGTTTTCAGGAATCACAAGTGCATCCTTCCACATCGTCTTTGAACAGACTGGACAATAAATTACATATTATTAATGTGGGAGGAAGAAAATAAGACTGCACTGTCTGTTCAAACAGAAAAACCAGGTGGAAGATGTCAAACAAATTGCTATAGTCAGAGGTTAGAGGACTGCCTGAGCCCAGGGGTTCGAGACCAGCCTGGGCAACTTGGCAAAACCTCGGCTCTACAATAAATCAAAAAATTGGCCGGGCATGGTGGCGCATGCCTGCAGTTCAGCTACTTGGAAGGCTGAGGCGGAAGGACCGCCTGAGCCCAGCAGGTCGAGGCTGTGGTAGCCGTATGTGTCACTGTACTCCAGCCTGGGTGACAGAGTAAGACTCTGACTCAAAAAATAATTGCTACTGCACAACACGTATCCATTAACCTGCAATGCAAGTTGGTGACTGTTTCATGTTAGAAAAATATAAGATATAAAAATTTGATTTTTTTGTCATAAATCAGTTCCTCAATGTCCAAAAGTCTACCATGAGCTAAATATCATTACAATAAAAGTATTGGTTCCAACACTATACTATTTAATATAAAGTGATTCATTTCTCACTATCTCGTAAAAAAGTGCAGTCGAGTTGCTGGAAGGTGATCCGTGAGATGTCCTCCAAGTTTTCCACACTAGCAGGTATGGAAAAGGAGAGGTAGGGGTGAGAGTTACCAGTCAGGTTTAGCTGTTTAGCGAACATTTAGTCTCGTCATCAGCATGAAAGCACCTGGACCAGTTAGCTGCTGGCAAAGTCCAAGCGAGAAGCCTGGGCTCTCTCAGTGGT